GGATTATGGTGATGGCATACGGGTGACTTGGTGATGGGAAACCCGCGGGGATTACAATTGAGATGGAAAAAAAAATGTACAAAATGATGTAAAAATAAACTGTTAAAAAATTTAAAAAATATATTTCCCATAGTATTGGTATTTGGGCAAGTTGGGTTTTGGTCTTGAGCCCTTCCTCTTCTTTTCCTACCTGCCACACCCCCACCCATCTTGTAACGTGGGAAAAAATATATTTTCAGTATCAGTATCCTCATTTATGAAATAAATGAATTGGCTAAAGGCAGGTACCATACTGCATCACATAAGGCGCTTTGGTTATGAATGAACAAAACTGGGGGAAAGTATTTAAACACAGCTTTAGATAGATGAGAACTGAAGATATGTAATATAAATAACTCCAGGTAACATCTAGGTATAAAGATAAAACTTTTAAAGGCTAAAAAACCCAAAGCAGGTGAAGTGGATCATCACTCAGGTACCAGTGATCTTCCAATGGCAGCTCATTTTCACATTCTACCAGAACATGAAGCCTGAGTAACCAAAGTTTTTTTAAATAAAGTCTTAGTATCTGAAGCTATTGTATTAATACAAAATATGAGATCCAAAAGTCCGTCACTTTTGGGCAGGGAATCATAGGAAAGGGGTGGAAGGGACACGACAAGTCTGGAGAGAAAGGATTGCATTTAAAGTACAGGTTTCTCCGCACAGATCTCTCACCCACTCTGTTCCAGGTGTGAGATCGCACTCTGTAGTATTTCTGTTACCTCTAAGACTGCCATCCCTGCTCAGTTTTGCCCTGTCAGTTCTGCCAACAGCTCTGTTAGCCCTTTTGACAAGAATCTCTTTACATATGTGACCTTCTCTTAAAACACTTCTCCTGCTGCCTCACTGTTTTGGATTCTTATTATGATTGCAAGATACCCTTTAGCGTTAGCCATCAGGAAACTGTTTGCTTAATTTGTTATTTTGGAAATCAGCACACCTGGCCACAGGGAAGCAATGACGGTGGGGTAGGCAGGGAGAGAGCAGCAGAGCAGGACTAGGGTGGGCATAAGTACCAGCACTGGCCACAGTCCTGCTTTTATTGGCATTGAGGGTGGTGAAGTATAGGGTTTCCGGGCTCATTCTTTCCTGGTGAGTTTATATTATAAGAGAGCATTTGAAGCTTAGGAAAAGAAAGAAAAAAAGAAAGAGGAATAAACACAAACATCAACATCATCTGGTTAGTTATCTAAATCAGCTAAGATTTGTAAAATCAAAGGGCCTCACTCACTGGGGGAGACAGCTTGGCTCTTTATGTTGTCCTGACTGCCCAAGTGTTTATCCAAGTTAACCCTCTTGAAGTGGATACTTCAGCATCAGAACCTAAGTCAGGCACTTGTATGACCAAAACACTCTCAGGGTTTACACTACACTTAAGCAAATCCTGATTATTTTTCCATTTTTTCTGGTTCGTGGAAGTAGAAATCATTTAATTTGGTCTCCATGGTGGCCTCTTTTTATAAACTCTCCATTACTCATGTCAGCCACCTCTTTCCCTACTTCTCTTGACCTCACTCACCTACAGTTCATTCGTCTGCATACTTCAGTGACTCAGTACCTAGCACAATCTCTCTTTCTCCCTAACCCCCGTTAAATTACACACCAGCATCTGTAGTTAATAGTGTTTTAACACTTTCATTTTTCAGAGATTGTTCACCCCTGATCCCCTTTTCCCACTGAGGGAGTGGCCCATAGTCATTTAAAAGTGATCCTAGTCTCCAGTTCATTTTACTTTTGTCTATGACCTCCAGCTTGCCCTTGTTGGCCATGGTTTTTACCCACGTGGCTTTTCCATTTTTGTATAGACCTTACCTCTGAGTTCCTTTTTCTGCTACCTTTTGGCACCTTTTCTTTGTGTGTCCTAGGCTCTGGGTGCTTCCCAGGCCTTGCTGAGTCGTTTTTCTTCCTTCTTACTGACCTCCCCATCAGAACACCAGTGTATGTGGCGGGACTTGTCAAAAACTGCTGACTTGAGGGCCCTCCCTGGTGGCGCAGCTGATTAAAGCGCAGCACTAAGAAGCTAAAGCCACTTCAGCATGAGTTCGATCCCCACCCCAGAGGTGACCCACATGGTGCAGGAGACCTCTCCTAGCCCACCTACTGCTCCCCTCAGCAGTGTACTTCATCAGTCGGCCTGTGCTGGTCCCCACGCTGTCTCTGGTGAATCCTCTCACCGCCCCTGCACCTCTGGCCTGTACCCCAGTTCTCTATGCACAAATAAATAAATCTTAAAACAAAAACAACAACTGACTTGAATCAGCAGTGGCTTGTCTCCTCTGAATTTTCTGATTCTTCAGTGTTGGTAATGGAAGGGTCATCTTTGATCCAGTTACAAAATTGAAACCTAGGAGGATGGGTGTGCTTCCATGAGTGCATTTTGAACCACT